TAACCAAAATCAAAGTAGACTATCACTCACCCACACCAGATGGAAAACTCTACAGACTGTCGGTTCACACCCCATCACAAGCCAGCAAAACATCCACGAAACAAAGAAAGGTCTGTCACAGCCAAAAAATACACTCCAGACTCGCCGCTGGCACTAGAGGCACAGCATGGCCGCCTAGCAACGGCCCCGACCATATATATATTATATAGCAGTGTTCAAAATCAAATTCTGCGATTGAAAACGCGATGAATGAAATCATAGATTGCGTTCAACGTGTAGGTTGGACAATATCAAATACCTCTGCCCAGTGCTGGCGAGACTCTGCAAGGGCCCATTCTGACATAATTGCAATTTGGGTGCTCGCCGGCAAATGGTCATACTTCTGATACAAACAGCGAAAAGATGATGCGGCTAATGTCAGAAGACTCAGAACTTTAAGAACTCGCCATATTGCATTGCTGTACAAAGATATCAGTGTCCATCCTTATAGACATCAGTTAAAATCGGAATGATGCAGAGAAGATTAAGCACAGCCCCTGCGCAAGCAAGAAGCGCATAGATCCAGAAATGGTCCAAATTATTATTTTACTTTTTATTAAGTTTTTAATAAAAGAAAGTCCGTGTGTGATACCGTGCAGCTGCCATTGCAATGCCTCATAGACCCCGGTACATCCGGTACATCGCAACCAACTCCATTGCAAGTAGAAGGTAGGAGACTGGGAACAACTTTCAAACGAGGGATAAATGCACTAGTTCCCGCCTGGTACACCAGTTCCATGGCACCTACATAGCGGTCCGTGCCAGGCTCAGTCCCATCCACAGGTGTATAAAATAAATACAAGGTGATCGGTTTGATATTGTCTAAGCTCGGTACTGCAGTCAACAGGCCTCTGATAGCCACAAAGCCAAGGCTTCCTCATCAACTGCCAATCAGACAGACCAAGGGTTTGGACACCATATATCTCACAAAAACACAAACACCGCCTCATGTAGGAGGAGGAAGAGTACGTACGTAAACCAGAAAAGAGAAGCGCAAAAACAAGCGGCAAGTTCATCCGAATACCCATAACCATACTCAGTGCATTCCAGCAGAACAGGCGGTACACAAACTGTCACCCACTCAAAACCCGTTGCCACACCAAGACATCAAAAGAACCCGGCAAGGGTTGAATTTACAAAAGACAAACACATTTACAGAAAACGAAAAGGGATATGACATAGCATCGCATCCAAATTCCCACTACTACTCGATAACTTTGGCTATCTGCATAACAAAACTCAATAACTTTGGCTATCTGCATAACAAAACTTGCGAGAATATCTACTTCTTAGCCGACCCCTGAGGGGGAAGCGCACAGTGTCGGCATCCTGTTCCACCACCACATAAATGAGACTGTTGTCCCATAACATTCTTCCTCAGAAAAAAAAAAGGAATGAAACAAGCGAATACATCCAGTTCAAACTGACAAGTCCATCTTGCTGGCTCTTACGAGCCGTCGAAAAAGAAAGGGTCGTCCTGCGCTCACAAAAGAAAGCCTACCTCATCGAATACGGAGCCGGAAGTGTACTCTTGCTCCCCCCGTTCAACACAATTGCACTATTCGCGTTACTCCTGCCAGACGCCAAAGGTGGAAGACCTGATTTGGATGTAGTGTGACAAATCGTTGCAAAACAAATGGTTAGATATATCTATATATCGTCACAAACAGAACTGCCCGGTAAACCGTAGGAGAGAGAGAGAAGAGGACAATAAACGAGGGGCTGTGACAAACTGTTTCGTCGGAGTTTCACCGACTCATCAGGAGGCCGAACCCTCAACAGTCTGCAGAATCCCCTCACTGATTACACTGTAAATGATAATCTACCTTAACCAAAATCGAAGTAGACTATCACTCACCCACACCAGATGGAAAACTCAACAGACTGTCGGTTCACACCCCATCACAAGCCAGCAAATATATACATATATATATCGTCGAACAGTCGAATTTCGCACACACTTGTTAGATACCATCAAACAACTACACAATATGAGCAACAGGCTGATCAAACAGTTCGTCGGCTCTTTGTCCTGAGGCTGTTCTATTCCGCCCGCCATTCACTGCTTAACATATTAGCGTTCCGGAAAAGGAGACGCGAGGGGTGAAGTACCCAAACTTTCGACTGACTGGTTATGAAAAGACTTGTACTTCAGAACTCAACCAAGGGCCGTCTTCATTGGCATTCGGTTGTTCCACTCTTCATAGGACTTGCACGGATACCCTTCGGTCTGTCCAGCATTCAGGATGAGATAGGGCTTCCTATAGTCAAAAGGCTCTATTGCCAGTGGCACAAGTTTGTGATTATGTGATAACCTGACCAAAGGGATCAACTGGCAGGCTCTTAAGACAACCAGTTCCGCAGATGGAATGCCATTTCTTGTCTCTGAAAACAGGTCCTCACGGTCCTCCCCCCTTGTCCATGTAGTGAGTGACCGATTCCACACTCTTCCATAGGGCAAGTATAATTATGATGACAATGCGACCGGTTCCACACTTCCTTCTGTGTGGGCCAAAGAACCCCTGACTACCATCAGTTGTTCCCTGGGAAAGGATCGACCGTCAGGTAACCCGATCCACAGAGTTCCTTTCGATCTCGGCGTGCACTGCGACAGTCCTGTTGCATTAGCACCAAGAACTGAAGGATACGGATGCAAAAAGGCGCGCAGGATAAGGATAAAAAAGGCGCGCAAGACCTCGATTACTCCTTTTTTTTTTCTTTTTTCTTTTTGACCTCGATTAATCAAAATATTGACTCCTCCACATCACCATCTTTAGACAACAGGTGAGAGAATCATGTTGGTTCCTTACAGAAGTCCAGAGGCACATCATGTTTAACAGTCCAAGGAACCAAGAACCGTTTTTAGGCACTTCAGCACTGCCCAGCCCATTCCCTTCCCTTTTTAGGTGTCCAAGTCGATACCTTTCTATAAAAAAAAAAACAAAAAAAAACAGCCTCATGCGGCAGTATCGCTCAAATAAAATCAGAATGAGCTCTGCAAAAACCTCAGCAGATCCAACTATTCCAGTGCTGCAGGAGAGCACTCAGATCATCAAAAACGACATTCTCAAAACGAGAGGAAAGGTTCCAGAAAAATGATGGCTGAACTACTCACAAGGACGGTAGCGACCTGGGCAGGCATAGGCTGCTTGATATGGCAATGGAGCATTTTCCTGGAAAAAAAAAAACACAACAACCAGCACACATCACAGATACAAGTCGAATCGAAAACATCAGACTACCATTCCTCGTCTGCACTGACACCAAATAGAAGTTGACAACAACCAATTATTTATAAATCAGGTTTCTTTGATTTCATTTCAACATATAAAGACACCACATTCATGCGAGTCTCCCACCGCCAGCACCACACAAATCGCTCGCCTACCCATAACTTATTCTCAATCACGCAGCCCATTCCAAATCTTCCCATATGTAATGTGAGCGTTACACACGATGACTCACATAAGAGCCATCAAACATTACACATGATGACTCACATAAGAGCCATCACTTCAACTAACATCCGAATGCAAGGCAAGTGTGTCTGCCAAACGTGCGAGCCCATCTTCATTCACATTGTCGCGACCCCTTCGCACATCGCACCTCCAATGCGTATCTTTGCATCTTCACTCACATTACCACCCCTTCACACATCGCGCCTCCAATGTACATCTTCGCCAACGCAACGGCACTACAAAAAAGGAACCCAGACATTCGTTGAAGTGTGTCGTAGAGATTCTAGATTCAGAGAGCCCAAACTACGGCTTCAGTGACACAAAGGTGTGTGTTCCTTAAATATTGCAACGCGGTTTTCACCTCGCGTCCTCAACCTACTCCCTTTCACCCTGCACATTCATGTCCTTGCCCGCTCTACAGCTCCGTTTTGCGCTGGCTAGAGACTGCTTTCTTATCTCTATTACCACGTCTGCCTTCACAGTCCGATTGCAATGACCGCTGCTCCTATACAATAAACACCCTCAAGAGACTGCAGAGATAATACCCAGAGCAGTTCCAGGAGAGCATAGCCACACCAGAACTTATTTCCACCGCCATCTACCTGGGCATCGAGTGCCCCACAAACTATCACAGCATCCCGTACTATCTGCTAAAACTGATCCAAATACATTAATGGTTATTATTATCACAGAAATGAAAACACCTATTAGTAAAGAAGACCCTCCACCCCCCTCGTTTGTTCCATAATGAAAAACCAATTAAAAGACCAATAGAACTACAAGCTAACAAGTCGAAAGACTCAAAAGACTCAAAAGACTCAAACTGAATTAAGTAACTCGACTAGCCCGGCATGAAAAGAGAGACCCGTTTAACAGTGACAGCCGTTTAACAGCGACCTCCAACAAGCCCAAAGAACACCTTCCCATTTTCCATTTTCCGCAATCTTTCAAACCGTCCCAATAGACATCTCTTCGACACCTCAAAAGAGTCCAAATCCTCTATCACTTTACCTGCTATGTCTTCCAGACGATGCTTCTTGCTGCACACACACAAGATTCATCCTCCCGTCTTCCGCCGTACTCGCATTTCGTCGGAATGTCCACAAGCACTCCAGGTTATCTAGTAAACAAATCTTCCTCGAAATCCTCTCCCCTAAAAACTGAGGGTTGTGCCCCGCTGAACGTCATCTGGCGAAATTCTCCCAAGCCAGAGAAGAATGGCAAGCTCCCCGTAATTTTTTTTGCAGTTCCACCTAACAGCCCTTTTGGGGCTATTACTAAAATGGAGCCCCGTGACATGGAAAAGAACTGCCTCTTCATTTCCAACATTCACAGAATTGTGGCCTGATTGCATTGCACCCTTGTTGAGGGGATACTTGGCCAAGGAGGCCGTGCAACAGCCTCTCCAATTTGATGCACGTCAAAACTCCAAAGCCATAGGCGCTCCCGCCTTCTGGACTGAGCAACACCATAAAGTACTGCACCTGCATCGTGAAGAAAACGTGTGTGACACTGCAGTGGACCCTTGCCTACTTCAGCAAAAATACCCCAAGAAAGTCAGTGGAGCACAACCCTCAATCCCTGACAGTAAGAGAATTAACCCTACAAACCCTGTGCACGGGAATTAACCCTACAAACCCTGTGCAAGGGAATTAACCCTACAAACCCTGTGCAAGGGAATTAACCCTACAAACCCTGTGTATTTATGAAAGGTGCAAGTGCCACCTACCACACTTCATAAACAGAGTTTAGACACGGTCCTACACCATAAAACCAAATTCCAGCCTACCGCAGTACAGTCATCCAAGGAACTTATCCGCTGCACCTTCATAGCTTAATTTGTACCGACTGTGAAGAGCCACAGCTCGACGCTCGAGCAATTTACAAGCCTGACAACGCAGAAACTCGAACATAATACAAACGCAGATCATCGGCAGAAACACAAAAGAAGGAAAGCCTTTCGCATTTGCCTCCCTAATTACACTGCAAGTGTTCTGATGACAGGATACACAAACGTGTAGCCTCCTTCAACGGCACTACAAGAGGTGCATCTCACACACCCATCACGCAAAGTCACCTGTTTTACACAAATTTTCAACATAGTCAAAGATTGTTCCTTCTCCTCTCCCATAGCACTTCCCTGCGGATGACCAAAGCTAATAACAAGAAATTTTTGAACCTTCTTTCCTATTACCCTTCTACTCCAAGAGGGGCAGCAACTTAAAAAGGTCCGCATTCATGACGACACCAAGCGCTATGCATAACAGAGGCTGACGAAAGACCCTTCCCCTAGCACTCCGTGTTTAAGCCCCTGGGCGCTGACACTGACCTTCAGTTACGGTATGGCTGCGTCCTACTGCTCAAGCTCATCACTTATGCTCCCCCTCCCAAACGCCATCTTAGCTGTCTGCACAACGTTCACGGACCGGTAGTAGATCCGTTGATCTTTGCAGAACCTTATGCAAGGACTCTTGCGACACGTCTGAATTGAATGCAACAGAAAGGCCCCCCAACTGAAACGAATCCAAGATCTCATATCAAAATACAAAGAAATTACTTCCTTAATATCCTAATATAAAGAAAATATTACTTCCGCCCTGGAATCCTCGCCTGGTCACCATCACACCCGTATGGACCTCCTAACAGAATTTTTTAGACGGCCTGCATCATAGCACTGGTCGACGTCACACTAACATCAACACCTTGACAAAGCATTTGGCATGGCTCGCTATATAGCGGCGCCACACCCACGCTCCACGGAGAACCCTGCAGCAAGCCTCCAAGGTGCACACCGGATCACCTCGTCTATATGCTCAGGACACAGGCAGGCCATCCCGCCCCGGAGGCCGAAATCCTATATTCGTCCAACGTAGATGCCAGATCACCATGTCCATATGCTCAGGAAGCAGGCAAGCCAGCCCTGGAGGTGGAAATTCCATACATTAACTTCGAAACACGGCGAATAATCATGGACAAGAGGTACTTTTCCCAACATATCATCCACTGAATAGCTTCTCTCAATTTGCCAGTCCTCTCCAAACACTCCTTTCGTAATCTGTCACATTCAGCTTGTTACATGCCACACCTGTCGCATTTAGGTTCAGCTTATTACATGCCGCACCTGTCGCGTTTAGGTTCTTATTACATGCTGCAATTCCTTCCTGTTTCATCAACCACCCCAACCATTTGCTTATATCGGGTCACAAGACTGGAAGCCGTGATCGCATCCGTGGATGAAACGGTAGTCCCCCACATCCGCCTCTCGCTCATCTAGTGACACCAGCTTGCCATGGATTATATAATTTTGAAATTTGGATGCTTCTCCAGGGACCCAAGGACTCGAAAAATCTAAATAACATCCTGATGCACGTATGTTACTTCAACTTATTCGTTATTGTTTTCGAACAAATTATTTGCTAGCGATCCGAGCTCCCAGAAAGACATCCTTTCAGATGTTTAATGCAATACTGTGCCCTGCGCTTCCACCGGGGGGGGGGACCAAAGGCGCACGTGAGATGGCCCCCAAGGCGCACTCGAGATGGCTCTGTTTTGACTGTCAAAGGTTTCCTAGTTAAGTCATGGGTGCCAATCACCCAGAGGGCCATTGATCATCAACCAGATGCTTCTGCAGTTCAGTGATGGCCAATCCGCCAAACACAGTTTGGCATTCTGCACTTCCCTAGCATTCAGAATAAACATCATCGACTATCCAACTAAGCAAAGATTTCACTGTCATACATTCCGCATACGTGCATCTTATGTTTTTACTTTTACCTCTTCATCTCCAAATCACTCCTCGCTTTCCTCTTCTCATTTCTAGCCATCTCTCTACCTCACATAATGCAGCCTAAAAACCCTTACCTCTCCCTGACCCATTGCGTAGGTTAGCGATGCTGGGGTGGTGCAAGTGCAAGGCTGTACCATCCCCACACCTAGCCGATGGGCAGCTGAGCAGGCATTGCTGGAGGGGAACACTAGCACTGCTAGTGCTGACCATGCTGGCCAGTCATTACACCTCCCCCCACCCCACCCCCCAATACCGCCTTCATCAAGAGCTGTTGTGCTGCACCCAACAACATTCACTTCGGTTCTGGTATTGCTACCCTGGGGAAGCATGCCCAGAGACATAAATGTCAGGGCACGACGTTCAACTACTTTGCCACCTTTCAACCGGCCAACTCAGTCCAAATACTTTTATCGACGACCTTCACATGATTGACAGGTCGGCCACGTTCAGACATCCGTCCATAGACCTGAATCCGTTCATATACCTGAATCCGTCAATAGACCTGAACATTCACATGATTATATCTGGAACATTCACAGTAAATACAGCTTCCATTCCCATTCTGACATTGAAATCCATAGGACCAAAATGTTTTTAACCGGTCAGCCAGCTTTCAAAGGTAAGCTACCTCGATACATTTTTATAACCGCCCTTCAAAGGATTTGCAGTGGATTCACATGGCTGTTTTCAACTCTAAACAGTTTTTAATCGGCTCTGCCGATCGATGACCTACAGCAATGCACTAGACACTCGACACCTCAGACAGGGGCGACCATATGCAACTGCCCAAGCTCTCTCTTTCACTATTTGCCACTGCATTTCCTCAAAGAAAGACCCAGATGATTCGGGGAAAAAAAAAAAAAAAAAAAAAAAAACATCCGTAAACTTCTCATACATAACCATTTCCCGCATTCAAAGCTCTGCATAAAGAGACATCTGTATTGCACTCTACACCATGCACAAATGTGTTCTGAGACTGACTGGCATCCGTAGCATCCAAGTCCAACACCTTCATTAAATTGCCCGTAACAACAAAATGTCAAACAAAGGCACTCCAGGAACAAAGGGCAGCTTCAATTTTGGGTTTTTCAAGCCAACAGTGACGTACACTGGGATGGCAGGGATAAAAGGAGCAAGAAGTACTTCATTCATCAGAAGCTCTGCTCCTGAACATCCTCTTAACCAGGCAACTAGGGATGCGCCTAATCACAATAACATGTCCGCCATCACTCGTGTGTACACATGGTTGTTCCGTACTCGCATAAGATCCATAACAAGATGGCTGTCACCAGACCCAAAAACATATAAAAGGAATTAGGGCAAAGCGGCCAAGATTTTTTTCCACATTTGCACTTTGTAAACCCCAACTCCTTAACTGCGGAAGATTGTTCATGACGGACTGTCTCCAGACCGTTCTGTGAACCCTCCTAGCACAGTCTTCCTTCGATTACTCTCCACAGAAAAGTCCCCATACACATGCCCTCCATGTGCATCCTGAAGGTGCTCCAAAAAAGCCCCTTTCCATCCCAAAGATACTGTTCTGAAGTCCACCACGGCATCTTCAATGTGCCACCAGAACCAAAAACAGATCGCAATTCCCAACTACTCCCCTCGTACAGTCCCACCACCACCTCCCCTCACTTCCCTTGAGAAGGGAAGTCTGATTGCAACCAGGCCACCACTGCTTCATCCCACATGTGAAGCAGACAGACTTGGCCTACTGGAGGTCAGGAGTCCAACGGAGATGGAAAAAGGAAGAACAGCTCTCTCATCGCCTTCACCTGGAGGGGAAAAAAATAAAAAAGGGTACATGGCGCTGCGTAAACGACAAACATTTCCGGGAATAAAGGGGAAATGTTTTGCCCATTAAAAAAGTTCTGCGACAAATGCAATCATTTTGCAATGCCTACTGGCCCAAGAGCACAACGATTTGGAAACGGAGCAGTTCCAAAATCGAGTCATATGAAAATGAAGCTCAGAGATACCTGTGATATGAAAATACCACCACCACAGATGGTCTCTTGTTCGCATCCTCGCATCTGTCACGTATGGCCTCACTACCTCAACCTACCTCTACACTTCACGGACTACCAGTAAAAGCTCCTTGTTTCCGATCCACGACCGACCGATCCTTTCATCCATGGACATGGAAGTGCACCACTTCATTCAGTGGAGACTCTCACTGCTGATGCACTTAGTTCACATTACAAAGTAAGATTGAATTTCACACTCCTAGCAAATACAAAGAGTCATTCCCGAGACACCTCCCGATATGCATTCCCGATAACCCATCCTTGCACCTTGTGAAGCCTCTGTTTGCTGAACTCCTCTGTTATTGGAAGACATAAACACACCCCTCTGCGCCACTCGCCACCGTGTCACAAAACCCCTGTATCCAGCTCTTTTGAAAAGGACTACAGTATCCAAAGCAACAAAGATATTCAGAAGGCTAGGACATTCTAACAAAACCATTCTGGAAAGCTACTGCAATTCTGGACTATTTCTTTTCCATCAAATAACCATAGGTAAGGCTCGCTCCCACTTCCCCAATTGGCTGACCATCTTCTGCCAGCTCAGGTGCACCTGTTGCCGTCGACATCGTTTCTATCGGTTCCAAAATTGAAACACCCCCACACATTCCCTCGGGAAGGGAAGCAGGGCAGTATCCAAACCTCTTGCACGTCTCAAGTCCTGTTAGCAAAATCAATATCCCCCCATACGTTCCCTCAGGACTGTATAATACTATAATTGCCCCTCTCCAGTCTCAAGTCGTGTCTGAATCATGTCCAACCCTCTTGCATGTCCTGCTGCAAAGCCTTCTATCAACGACCTCCCCGCTGCTCAGAAACACACATGATGTTTTTTGACAGGATGGGGCGCAGGTCACATCTGCAAGCGCAGCAGATGTAACAGGCGGTGTACCATAGCAGGTGCAGCCAGTCACTACCACCCTACCTTCCAATATGCACTCCTTGAATGAAGACCTATACGAACCCCTCTGTAAGGGGAAGAGTTGTACACACCCCTCTGTGACGGGTGCATATCCCAACTCTTTACGAGGTCGTCTGGAGGATCCAGGACCCACCCATCACAGCGCACATGTAGCGATCTGACAACACGCCATGGCTCATTCCAAAAAGCCTAAAACCAAAAAGTACTTTTCCGATTTCAGAATACTTGGGTGAGCCTCTCACTCGCTATAAAACCCCTATCATGCATTGAAAATAATGGCGTCGGCAAATTGATCAATCACATGAATTAATATACCTCCTCTCTCTTGACATTTTTTATCACGACTACCAAAACTGCTTCCTGGCACAGAACTGTCCAACTGCATTATCATTGCTCTTACCTTTGGCCACTGAAAATTGTGGCGTCCCCGATTATTGAACAGCATGTCACCGCACACAGACAACTCTGCTGCTGTATCTTGCAAGTCTGCTGCTCTATCCTGCAAGCACTTCCAAGAGAATGGAATGCAGTCGACCACATCGGATCTCTCCATGACATTTTTCGCATTGTGGGAGACAGCCTTCCTGGCTTCACGAGGAATCAACAAGGAATAAAAGCACACCCGCCCTCTTCTATACTATCTCCTCCCTGCTCGCACCGCACCCCCCCGCCCCCTCCCCCCCCCCCCCCCCCCCCCCCCCCCCCCCCCCCCCCCCCCCCCCCCGGCATTCTCTCTCCCTCACCTTCATTCCTACCACCATTTCCCACTCATACATGCTCCTCACCTTCATTCCTACCACTACTTCAAAAACTTATTTCAGAAGCACTACTTGCTGCATCTATTCACATAACCGCTTATACAACAGACTCCCTACCAGCTACAAGGGACCGGAGAAACATCACGGTAAGAAAGTAACATGCAACCTTTTACTATTACATTATGTAACCAAGGTTTTCCAATGACTAGTTTAGAGTTGGGCAATAACACACCACCAGGACAGGAGAAAGAAAAGACGTGTTGGCAGATAAAGTCATAGCGCTCAAGACGCGGAGCGGAGCAGACGTCACAGTAATCTTATGACAGTAAAAGTTCGATGTGTTCCAACCAGAATCTTGCCTGGCGACTGAACAACTCAGCGCTTGTGCCCGTACATCAAGGAGGTGAAATTAGCAGAGCATACTGATACAAGGTACATCATGACTCGTACATGTATAGGCAAGGGCTTGAGAAGCGACCGTACTTGCTTCATTGGGATGATCTTGGGCGGCATTCCCATCGCTGCATTTTCAAAACAACACAACATGGAAAAACAGACATACAAAGCCAACCGACCGTCAACATACTGCATGGTGATGAACAGCATGCTATATACCGACAAGCAAGAAAGGTCACGAAGGACCCACAGCAACCCCCAGCACTTTCCAAGCAAACACATCTGTTCCTACGGGTTATCGGTTCAAGTCCAATAGTGAGCATACTCGCTTGGAGAAAATGGTAAACACGACAGACTAAAACACTTCATCAGGGTCGAATACCGACAAGCAAGAAAGGTCACGAAGGACCCACAGCAACGCCCAGCACTTTCCAAGCAAACACAAGGGACGACACTACAACTTTCAGTGGTGGTTAACAGCACTTAGCCGTAAGCATACACGTGAAAGGAGGTTCCATGGGAGCCTCAACTACTGCACAAGTGATGCAAAAATATTTTGTCACGTGAAAGGAGGTTCCCTGGGAGCCTCAACTACTGCATAAGTGATGTAAAAATGGTTTGTCATCAAATCTGTAAGACAACATAATAACTAGTGGAAACTTTCTCCCACATACGATATCAATATCAATTCGCCTCACAGAGCAGAGACTCGACAACCAACATACATATTCCAAAGCCAAATATCACTCAAGTGACAAATAGAACATCACATTCCTCACACAAAACACCGACTTGGTGCATACGGATAATAGATGATATCGAGAGCGATGCAAACAGGCTAATTAGTAATTGCATTCTACTTCCCAATTGTTTTCCGGGAAGCATCTCTACCGCTAATTGCGTTCTACTTCCCAATTGTTTTCCAGGAAGCCCTACCTCTATTTCAAGGGTAACACTTCTGTCAGGGCACACCTGGACACCCACACCTATCGGAGCGGGAAAGGGATCGACTGAACGAGGCATTTTTGCAACCGAGCTAAATTGCAAACGCATACGTACATTTCTACCGTTATATCCCCGACATGGTAAAATATGTGCTGAGAAAAAGACCCTGGTTGTAGCCATCATCAGCAATAGACATAGAGGCATAGACATCAAAACGACTGGCACCCTGTTCACAATGAATAGTGTCCCCACACCAACTGAAATGAAAATACAGAGGCACAAAGAATCAAACACACCAGAAAAGAAAAGGCTAGAATAACACTACAATGACAATGCAAAAAGCTTCCAGCTGAGCATGACTTCAAGACCCCCCCCTAACAAATTAAAGAGAAACAAAAAACACCATTTAAACCCCATTTACATGGCAACCCCCTCCATTGTGGACTACTGAATTTGAAGCAGAGCTCCGGTATCGACTGCCCAGAATAAACATGGCCTGCTTTTGAACGATGCTGAACTTCCACCTCACATACCTGGCACAGGAACAGCGTACTTGGTTGGTGGAGGGAGGGCAGTCTCCAAGACTGTAGAAACCTCATCCACACCTCCAGAGACCTCTGTATCAGCCCGGCTGACAGAATGCACTTCGTCATTGTAAATATTCTCTTGCCCTGTTCCATGACAAGCACCACCACTCGCTGTCAGCCCACATCCACACGGTATGACAAGTAAAACCGCATAGTGAAATGGAAAATACAGACAACAAAAAGACAACGAAGGAAGACGGGAACAAAACCAGATCCTCATACGACTCCGCATACATAGCCACAAGGGTAGTTCTGGGTAACCTGCGTCACTAGACAGCCAGAACATTTTTCACCTCAGAGAATCCCAAACGCAATTACCCTGACATGCGACACGTAGGGAGTGGACACTGAATACGAAACCAGACACAAATTTCAGTTGGCAACCTTCAACACAGTGATGCTGAACACCGATAGCACTCACGTCATGGCATTGTATAAGACCATGCACACAAAACTCATAATTGCTCTGAAATCAATACTCACAATGACGGATCCACAGGGTGCACCAGTATGTGCAGGCAGCACATAGCGAAATTTTCAGGTCATCCACAGCCAGAAATACAAACTTCGGTAATGCTAGGCTCCAAATGGGAGAGAGTGACGGGGGAAAGTTTTCTTCTGTGTCACAGCAGAGCATGCAGTGAATTCATTTGGTGAACGGCTTGGAGAGAGTGACGGGCAGCAAAAACACATCACTCACCATCATATCCATATGGATGACGAGTGTCTCTTCGCACCAGAGAAGGTCCTAGAGTCAGCTTCAGTGTTATTGGCTGAAGAACATGAAACCACACAACACAGGCAAAGTTGTGTGAACGGCAGCGCTATGTGCCAAAGAAAACTCTGCTCCAGGATCATTACACATAGGCCACTGTGCTTCTCTATACTATGACCTGATAGTCTCATGCAGTGGACGCTTGACGGCATTTGACAGCATTCACATCCTATTCATCCTTACACCTCCTCTTCCCTATTGATCTAAACGAATTTCACCCCACATCCACAACAAATCCTTCCACATCTTGACCCACCAGAACATGCAGAATAACCAACTTCAGATCAAGAACTCAGATACTTATCATAAGCAGGGGTCAGGCTCGAGTCTATTTTCCCGCCCTCCGACCCATGATAGTTTTCCAATCTTACAGCACTCCGTGATGCATGCCCATCTCTACCACAGCTTGACCCACCGGGACATGCAGAGTATCCGAACAATCATCCTCCTTTTCAATTCAACCAACCGACTACAAGCACACGAGGCCCCTGGTAGCCAGAAAAATGCCACTGATGAATATTCTGGCACATCTTTGGGAATGTATCATGCACAGCGTAGATATACAGCGTAGATATCCGGGTAGGCAAAAAAAAATCCGAACAGGGAAAAAAAAAAATCCGAACAGGGAAAAGCATGGCATACATTGACCTCAGAATTAAAACTGATCTCTGCACCGAACTTATCATTTTCATGGCACAGCTTCACTGCACTACTTAACTTATCATTTTCATGGCATAACTTCACTGCACTACTTTACAAGGACTAGCCCCCACCCCATGCAATAACCAAGCCCTGTTCATTCCAATTCAAAACATTCCCACCCTCGTCCCCAATCCCTTATGCCCTTGCACTGTATTCCGCCAACACAAACCTTACACACATACCATGCACGTACTGTTCGACCACACTGGTCAAAGGTCGAGGAAAATCGAAGCTCAGAGAACAGACCAAGGAGGCACAGCGAGTGATGGCGAAGGTGCACCCATGGCCTAGCTCAGTAAAGGCACACAAGTGGCGTTCTCGTCATGCGTTCAATCCACATTGGCCTCATGTACCTTCCTGGACAGACTTAGGGTCCACCATCGAGAGGTAGCCCATTTGCCCCCAGACAATGTGTTCAGCAGAACTTCACGGACAAGGGATGCAGTTTGGACAGTCAAGTAGAAGCTGAGCAGCAGAAGATGCAGACGGACGACTTTTTAAAAAGCAGAAGGATGTGGTCACATAAGGAGTATAAACGCAGGGACCATTCCAATTCCAAGTCAAGTGCAGAAATTAAGAAACGAAGGTGACGATATGACAAGAGAGTGATACAAGGGTGCTTCAGAACACTGCCAGATCACAGATTCGGATATAGATTCGGTTGAGATTCCGTGGAGATGCAAAAGGAGGTCCAAAAGTGGTTCCTACAAAGAAACGGGAGCAGAGTTCAGAGACGAACAGAAGTGCTCAGAGAAAAAGTGAATTAAAACCAACGACTGCACAGCCACCTGTAGCCAAGGGAGCCTCATAGAAACGTAAGAGGCCCTGCATCAACCACCACAATTCGAGCATCCAATTGTCTATTGAAAGCCCTGCATCAACCACCACAGTTAGAGCATCCAATTGTCTATTGAATTCCAGCACAACTAAGCCCAGCCAATTTCCAACAAACAATCCTCCGACGCACCAAGGTAGGGAACTACCGTTCTACACCAAACACAACGGGCCACCCTTGTGGGTGTACTCGGCTGAAAAATGGCTTGTATGCATTCATTACCATGGCGAGTTATGTTCGGGGGAAGACAGCACGTCCAGACAAGAGCTTCACTGCCCTTGTAGAAGTCCTTCCCGGTTCGTATTAACACACTAGCCTCGACGTAACTACTGAGCTGAATGCTATATTTCCAAGTAAGCAGGAAGTACCCCAGGACAAGACCTGTAGAACTCCATGCATAGACACGCACATCCTCCATGAAGGACCGGCGGCAATTACCGCATATGTGACATATGATATAGACCACGACAAATAGGAAGTTCCCCACAGGTCCCGACAAAGTGGTAGCGTAAACATTGTTGAGATTCAACCGCAGCACACAAGGGAGAGACGGAGGACGTGGCAAGCACTGATAAGGCATGTTTAGAGTCTATAGCCACTTGGAGCTGGCTTGAGTCACAAAATTATAAGCCTTCACACAGTGAGCAAAGCAACCTCAATTTTCTCTTCTATCTGTAGAAAAACAAGTCGACGATCTTTTAACGCCTACCTGGAAAAATGCGTGTGTCAATGTTTGCGCAGCAGTTGGCCTCTTGCTAGGGTCCCAAGAGCACATGACCTGCGCCAATCCCACAAATATCACCCATCAAAACAAAATCAAACGGAGTAATAATACAGCACAAAAAAAAAAAAGTACTCTCCTGGATCCCAAACAATCTACGCAGCAAACAAATCACCGATGTTATAAACCACTGTTATTGGGTTCTGCTTTAGGAGACCACAAATTCAGACTTCACAATCATTCAGACTTGAACAATCACAGCATCGAGGCCAGCCTAGCTTGCACACCCATCTAGATCACCGCTTCTCCCCATATACCTGCATTTTCTGGGAGCCGTTAGAAGTAATGGAGGTCTACAACAATGCTGCACATTGATTATGACCCCACTGTCACCAAACATGGCCCAAGCTTGGTCTACTCTTTTCTTCCTCCTCTCATCTTTCGAGGAAGAGAAAGGTCTACCTGGCATGGTATAGAGGAACTTCATTTTCGATTCATGCTATACAGCCCTCTGAACTTGGACACAAACACTAGTGAAAGAAAAACGACCACGAGATTCAAGAGCTTGCATCGGAAATGTCCTACCAAGCGCAACTCTTGGCACCATTGCACATATCAATGTTTTTACTTAGCCATAGAGACAATGAAAGGAGAAAAATGACCATGAAATTCAACAATCTACCTCAGAAATGATAAACCGAGGGGCAAATCTTCGCACCACTGCAGAAATGTTAAACCGAGGGGCAACTCTTCGCACCACTGCGTATATCCAGTTTTGTGCGCTTCACAAGAAACCAAAAAATCAGAGCTCTTCTGGAAATCCATCAAAATTGGACAACAACGAAGCAACACAGCCCGTGTGCAAGTATGACATGCCCAACTCCAGAAACAGTCTCTTTTCTTATCAGACTCACGATTTCTATATGACCCTGTTGCTCCTCAGGCTCGAGCAAGCACGTCAGAAACTCATCATGCTCGCCAACAAGGGTATGCAGCAAACCATAGATGCGAGTGTTAAAAGAGACTGATCAATTTAGTCTTCTGCACTCCGCAGGCACAGCGCATGGACAAATAAGAAGGCGAGGCAAGGGGAGGGAGATCACACAGACAGAGAGACAGTGAGAGGACAGGAATTAATCATGCTTCGCAGCTTCAGCAATTTGCCATCCTTTTTTCTCCTGAAGGAAAAATGATACCTGGGCATGTTGTTCAGCAATCGGGAATGGCTCGTTTTTTGGAGATGAGATACAAACAATGTTGAGTTCTCTTTTCCCATCGCATACAACCACCATAAATTTTGCCAGGACAAAGTGCCAGGTGTGTGCACATGTGTCTCATATTCCCTGAACACAACCCCACAAAAAAAACTGTGACTGTGGCAGGCTACTGACATTTCCCAATTTACCAAAAATTCAACACGTGTGTGCCTTCTGGGGGGAAAGAGAGGGGGAGGGGGTACGGAAACCCACCGTCATCAAGTCGATGGCCTCTGGACTTGCATTTGGAATCAGCACTGACAGATGAGTAGCAGCGAACTGCAGCCCACAACACAAGCACCAGACACTTAGGAACTCTGTGGATGAAGGTAAGTTTGTGAAGCTAGAGAAACTGGCATAATGTGAACAGAGAATTAACAACACCTAACCACGATCGAAGCAACCTCAGCATTCAAACAAAGTGCATAACCAAGAGCATGACATATGACACTAACTGACCCTTCCAAGACATCGCAAACTATAAAGCTCCTCAAGATCCAATTTCTGCAAAACATACATACACCCACTCACTCACACACACACACACAAAAAAAAAAAAAAAAAAAAAAAAAAAAAGCTCGTGCACACAACCCGCACACAAACCCCAAAAAAGAAGAATGCCTATTACCAACACAACAACTTACGAGAACATATCACAGAGCCCAGGCTTACCTGTGGAAAACGGAAGTTCATGGAAGCAGCAAGCTTCATGCCAGCTGGCCACGTCTCCACACTTGGCGTCCCTAACACGCTGCAGATCTTGTAAATCTCATCCGCCTCGCTGCATGCAATCAGCCCCTCAGTCAGGAATTAAACCGAATAAATGCTATGGAGTAGATGCAAGCAGCAAACCTACATCCCAAATCGTATCCTTCATTCACTATGATACGACACCTTTTCACAACCTTCCTTCAGAAAGAGACAGCACCTGCCCGGGACCACGCGAGAAGTACACCCATCATTTCGGACACCGAACATGGTCCAGCCAACTGCCATCTGGAGATAAGTAAAATCAGCAAGACTGGTCCCCGGCTTCACTCATTTCACTGCGGCATCACATTCTAGTCTAGCGACCACAACAGCAGCATTTAGCTGGTGCAACCAATGCTGCCATTCAGCATGATAAACAATCGAACCTCTAGCTAACCACACGAAACTTTCACTGAGCGAGTAGCATGCAATATTTTCATAATGACATAAACCCAAAACCGAACTGCTCATCTAACAACGACGTGAACGCCAAGATCAGCATGTGAGGCAACATACCAAACACCAACAAGATCTGTAAAGAAATAACAAAGGAGCACAATCAGAATGTTGGTCATGACTTCCTTATCTTAGCCACGCATGCTTCTGGATATGAATACAAAGCAGGGGGCAGATTGTAAGAATATCTCAAGCACCCATACTCAAATCCAGGGGAAGATTGTTGGATGACTCATGACCTTTTACTCACCTTACTCCCGGGAAGAGTGGCCTGAGCGTGAAAAGTTCTGCCATAATTGCTCCCATGGCCCACATATCTATTCACCGGCCAGCAAGCATACACATCAACGACCAAACAACTTAAGTACCTGCGCTGCTCTCTCAAGAGCCATAGCCTGTCCTCTCTCAAGAGCTTTAGAATCTTCTCCACATTTCCATTTCCACTACGCTCCAAATGCCTCGTAACAGAGGCCTCAGTATAAGACACTTCCACACCACTTCCACATTTGAATGTCCTCCCTGCGTCAGAAATAGCCCCTCTCATGACAAGATGCCATCTCCGTATCAAAAAACAGCTCCTCTAATGGTAAGAGAATTTCTGAAAGGGGGACCTCTATGTCTCACTTTCCAAACTAAATGAAATCCCTAAATTAGAAAAACAAGAAACCAATGCTCAAAGAAGACATCATGCAGGACGGAGGCCCTCTGGGGTCCGGGAAGAACCACCAACTAACCAGATAGGCACAACCTTCACACACTCACCACTCACATAAACTTCCATTAATTCTTTCCAGTTTCAGATACATGGCGTAGAGGGATAAGGTCAGTGATATCACCCTGCAAACCACAGGAGGTATCACATCACAAAGAGAAGACCATAAATCACTCTTGCCACGCGCCCTGGAAACCACAATAGGTAAAAACCACTTGAACGGCCCCTGCACTGTTCATGTTTCTTGTTGTGCAGTACCTGGCCGAAGCCTACAGAGTGCAGACCCGGTAGTCGTTCCATGGGGGAGAGTACCACAACTGATTTTCCTCACAGAGGCACTCTAGATTCACCACAACTAATTTTCCTCACAAAGCACTCTAGATTTCAAGCACTGGGAAATGCAAATTTTGATTTGTCAAAACAGGTCCGGATGGAGTGGTGGAATAACTGGCACACGCCATTTGGCACGCCCTGGACTTCCATGACTGCCCATACCAATCATCGAACCCCGCCCGCTCTGCTTCCCGAAAGAGAACGAGTTCATCACAATTGACCGAATGGATGGGACATCAAAGGCACTCACCGATGGGTGCACTGTAGCTTGACGACTGCAACAACACTTCAGGTGCACGATACCTGACAAAAGGAACAGATCAGGCACGTGTCAGCGTAAGACACATCCCTGTTGCTAATCACACGACTTGCACGACAAGCACGGAAGCCACAAAATCCATTCACACAGTCTCATCGACCATTTCAGTGCACAGAACACACATCCACTGCCCTGCAAGAATACAAACGCCACAGCATGACTCACCATCGAGTGGATACATAATCTGTATATGGAGGCCGGGAGCGAACTTCCCTTGCAAGTCCAAAATCAGCCACCTTGATTACATCCTTCGTCACCAGAAGATTTTCTGTTCAGGACACGGGCACCAACAAAAACGTCCATAACAAAGTCAGGCTTGCACCAGCACAGCGCCAACCAAAAAGTTCATAAGAGACACGTAAGCCCCCTGCCTGGCATACACCGTTCTGCCAAAGAGAACATGATAAGAGACAGGAACCTCATTACGTTTGTTCCACTATCCTCTTCGCCTTCTCCCATTGCTCTCAAGAATTTGATGCATGGGTTGACCCCAAAGCAGCTCCGTACGGTCCAGCTCTCTGGTCAAGAAAGTGCTGGCGATACTTATGTTCATGACCATTACGATCAGGCTCAACATGCATAAGGTGCACATCCCCCAGGATTTCGTGCTCAGCTGTCCAGCACCTTCCCATCAAAAAATGCTGGAAAAAATCCGTACTATTCTTTCGCCTTTTACTAAAGAATACCGTGGGCTGAGCACACGTAAGCAGCTTACGTGAATTTTTCACAGGCCTACCGGACTAGTCTGGAGGCCACAAAAAAAAAAGAAAAAAAGAAAGAAAGATTGCAGAGCATTCCGAAATCTTAAAGTTCCCCCAACCTGAAATCAACGGAACCAAAGCACCGATGAATCGGTGTACAGTGGAGCCTTTGTGCGATTGTATTACAAAACGAGTCTGTGAAAAAAGTATTTCCCGTGATTTCTTGGACGTAGCAACGCTGCTGATGAGCCCGCAACGATGACCGTTAAAACGATGATCAGCATGCATTAGGTACACGGACCACAGGATTGAACGTAAAAGCCTATCTTCCTATTAGCACCCAAAATACACATGCATACCCAACAGTCATATCACAAACAACAAAAGGCCTGTGCGCGCAACCCAGTACAATCCTGCCACGCCCAATTATTACCCCATTAAATCAACCAAAACTGAAAATAGACACTCCTATGATTTCCCTGAGACAAATTCAGCAAAATGGCATATGAATTCACATTCAATAACAACATGTGCACTAGGCCATCATGCCAAGCCCCATCTGTGTTCCCCCATCCACACATCCCACCGACTGACATGTTTAATCAACCAATGCCAAAAAATAAAAGACATATCGATAAAAGACTTCTGCCGTACCTCGGCCACACATCCATCCCACTTGCATTAATCAACCAAAGTCAAAAAGAGAGACTTCTACCAGTAGATCAGTTTCCTTGAGGTGTACTCAGCGAAATGGAAAACATCAAAAAAAAAAAAAAAAAAAAAAAAAAAAAGGAAAACATTCAATAACAACCCATCCACCAGGTCCTTTCCTCGGCTCATCTGCTTACCTGGCTTAAGATCCCTGTGAAAATAGCCATGCTTGTGCATATATGCCAACGCAAGGAGCACCTGATAACACCAGTTTCGGACTTTCGATTCTGGAAAGTATTTATCCTTGTCCTTCATCATTTGGTAGAGATTGTATTCCTGTAAGATCATATGACACAGACACCACACAACTGAGCTTAAAGAAGCCTTCCCAAACATATCTTCAATTCAAAATGTTCCGTTTTCCCTCCAGCAGCACCTCCTCCGTTACCACCGCTTCCCAGCAACCCCCCTAATATCATCCGCCCACCCAGCAACCAACCTAATATTGTCCGGTTCCCTGCCTGACTGACACACAGGTGTACTTATCACAGCCTTCAGCATGTCAGACAAGGTGGCAGAGCGCAGTTCCCCCACTCACGCATACTTCCCACAAGAGAATGTTCCTACGTAGCTTCCACTTTGCAACAACTAAGCCCACCCTGTACAAACTTGTCAGATAGCTGGCCTTGTTATCATAGCCTTCCACACAACCTACATTCCCACAGAATGTCCCTTCACAATTCGCACGCATTCTCTCTCAAGGGGGCGTTCTTCCATAACCAGTCTGTACTAAGCCACCATAAATAATCCTTCCCATCCCCAACTGTGACCACATGAATCCCCACTTACGGAATCCGCTCGTGTGTGAAGGGTCCAATTACGCACCATGAACTCGAAGACAAAGTACAGCTCGTCATTTTCCCGGATGACTTCCTTCAGCTTCACAACGTTCGGGTGATTCAGCTTTCGTAGGGACTGCCAACATACGGAAACAACGCACACACAGATGTCAATACAACCCATCCGCAGCCATTTTCCAGACAACCTGGGACGAAATTCAAGGAACATACACACAAAGCACACACACAGATGTCAATCCAAACCATCCACAAAACATAAACCGAAAGCACATCCACAGATATCAATCCAACCCATCCGCAATGATTTTCCAGACAACCTGAAACACAACATTAACAGAAAGCACACACCCAGACGTCAATCCAACCCATCCGCAGTCATTTTCCAGATAACCTGGGGCGCACTACGAACAGTCGAGTACCACCAAACAAACAAACGACCCACATTCCCCAAAACCCTCAAGGCACTACCTTTTAACCCTTGATTACTCACCCATCCCCTTTTCCACCCATTTTGTTTATTGCTATCCCTCTCCCCGTGTTCCTTCTTCGCCCTCAGTTTTTCTTTTCAGAAAGCGGCCATATACACTCGCACGTCCAAATACCCAGCACTGCCTCCCCCAGACCACTCACATCCCATGCAAGGAGTCACAACTACTTGCAGAAATTCTCTTACCTCTTACTCATCCTCCTCCTCCGGCATTGCCTTCGCACATAAATACAATATTGTACATCCCCATATACATTCTCACTCCTACGATTAACACATCATCATCCACTCATCCACTGCCGTAAACAATGAGCCATCTCCCGAAATGTATGACGAAAGGGATTTCTACAAGAGGGAATTCAACTGTTTTTGGAATCTACTGATTGATTCTTTTTGATTCGTAATCAATCCAAAAATTCCAAACGATTAACACATCACATCATCATCCACTCCTCCACTGGAACATCACAAACAGGTTCCTAGTTAATTCACCAACCCATTGTTCGTCTGAAAGGCACAAGTCACTTCACACCCACACTGTCCCTTCCGAGTTCCCCACAGATGCATGAATAGTTTCACACCCACCGTTTTCTGTACGCAAAAAAAAAAAGCCACGGACGCACAAAAGAAATGCCCCTGATTGAAACTGACCTTCACTTCCCGGAGATTCATGCACTCCTCCCATGAGTAAAACTTCCTCTTCATCTTCTTAATGGCAACCTGCGGTAATGAAACGTTACGACCACCACATCATTGCAAAGAGACGAAACATGAAATCCAGAGTCAGCGCTGCAAAGCCAATTTAGATACATATCGCGTGCTTATAGGAACCACCTCTGCACTCCCTACAACAGTGAACAAAAGCCTGCACTACTTTGCTTGTCTGAAAAGAGAACATTAGCAATCAGAAACCTTCACGAGAACTTCCCCTCTCACTGAAGTGGCCCCGAAGCTGCTTCAGACCAGCAACACCGCACAGATGCACATAGAAACCCCCGCCATAGAAATCCCCACAATCCGCACATTCATAGTACTCAAAGCTACTTCAGACCAGCAACACCGCACAGATACACAGAGAAACCCCCGCACGCCATAGAAATCCCCGCAATCTGCACATTCAAAGTACTCGATCGCCCATATCTACATACATAATGATCATTGCCTGCAAACAGCAACAGGTCTTCCCAGACCACTTGGCGGACATAAAAAACACCACCTACCGAACCCAACGAGCTGGGAGTCTGGATTTCAGAACCTGGTACGAGTACAGGCTAAAACACCAACTCCCAACCATAAACATCCCCTTGCAAGAAAAAAAAAAAAAAAACACATACTTTCCACAGCAAAGAATAAGCACGGATGTGAACACACGTTGACAAGACTGCAATGGTTACCAGCAGTGAAGTGTCCAACTCAGATATATTCAATCTGAGTTTTAAATGGCCACTCCCGTCTTATCCCGCGGGTCAACATAGGAAAAGACCGCAAACATGCTCCCTTCGGACTTCATTTATTCCAATTCACTGCCGTAGGTTAACCAGCAACGGGTAAGGTTACCCAACAGCGGACTTTCGAACTCGCATATCAACAGCATCAAATGCACTTCCATACTATGCCGTGGGCCAAAAGAGGAAGACACCAAATGATCACTTACGACTTCATTTGTTTGCCTATTCACTGCCTTCCACACGCTCCCATACGTCCCGTCCCCCAACTGCTTAATTATTTTATACCTGCGCAAATGATCAACACGTACAAATTCATGTGCACCACCACGGCCATCCAACACAACAACAATGACAGAGCGTCATCAGCCATACATCCCGAAGTGAAATCAAGAGCACGCATCAGCATCGCGCAACTCTGACTTACACGCCCATCCCACAGACTGCTGCGCTGTGTCCCGTACCACCATGTCCCTGCATTCCTTCTCCTGCACGGCAGGGTTAAACATGAAACTATACTTAAAGCGACGACAAAGGCCATCGATTTATCTACAATCCAACTCTGAGTCCATTCAATAAGAGTCAAAGGGCAACCGCCTCCCCCAGGCCATCATTCGCTGTGTCCAATACTCTGCCCCATGCTCCTTGTTGCATAGCTGAGAACATAATAGCTTAATTTCCTTAACCAACCCGGTCATTAAATCGTCTCGTTCGGATTCAAACGAGGGTTCCTTAACCTCCTGACTAAATCATCTGATATCCCGAATGAAACCGGGGGTTCACTTAACACATTATTCATTTCTCTTGGATTCAAATCCGGAGTTCGAATGGACAACATATTGTAAAAGAGAGCGTTGGACTATTATAGTCTAACCTTTCTATTATTAGAATAGGAAAGCGATACAAGATAGTCTAACCTTTCTATTATAGTCTAACCTTTCTATTATTAGAACAGGAAACAGGAAAGAGATACAAGATAGTTTAACCTTTCTAT